TCATCTTTGATGATCCATGACGGCAGCTCGTCTTCCTCCATCAGACGAGGCTTACGCTTCGGATTCCTGGCGTCCTCTCTGCGGCGGTCCATGTCGAAGCGCTGGAAAATGATATTCAATAACTGATAAACACGAAGCAAATTAACTGAAGATAAACCAGGACCCAGGAAAAAACAGACTTGGTTTTATTTTCACCCTTTATTTTGCCAGGACTAATCCCACTGAGATTCAAAATCTCTCAGAAGGAAGTTCAGTCCAGCCTGCAGTCATTCCAGAGTAAAACCCAACTAAATTAAATGTGACAACACGAAACAGAGCAGGAAGTTCCTGTTGAAGCAGAATAATCAGCAGCAGCTTCTGCTGAAATGGTCCAACTGTTAAAATAATCCATGCTCAGCAGATATCTCTGTAACCAACACCAGGACAAGGCTTTGATTAAAAACAGTTTGTGAAGAATACATAAACAACTAGAGAAAAGTGTTTATTTTGTAAAAAACAAACAAACACAAAAAACAACTGTGCACTGAAAAGCTTGAAGCTGCTGATGTGAATGCCTCCACAGAAGGACTCGAGATGCTGCAATTTAGGCATTTGAAGCCAACACTGAAGTTTCACAAGAAACAAGAGTCTTCCATATTTTCCTAACAGAGAACTTCGTTCTCAGACTGCAGGTTTACTTGAGGTTCCTAGAGTTTCCAAATGTGGAATGTGAGGAAGAGCTTCCAGTTCTCAGGCTCCTCTCTTGTGGAACCAACTTCCAGTTTCTGTCCGTGAGGCTGACACATTGTCCAGTTTGAAGACTGGACTTAATGCTGCTGGATTCATTCATCCCCATCTGCTCACCACAGACTCATGTTCAGGCTGCTGTTGTTACGCCGTATTGTTTTACATTATATTAGTGTTTATTATATCTTAGATCTTTTAGTGTACCGTTTGGTGTTTGTTTAGCGTATATCTTAGTTTATATCTTAGATCCTTATATACCGTTTCTTCTACACTTTATATTTTGCTATTGTTGGGTGTAACTGGGACCCTGTGTACATAATTTATTTCCACCTCATGTACCACATGGGACGGAAATGACAATACAATTGACTTGAACTTTCTTTTTTGATAAATCCTATAGTTAGGGTTGGTTTGGGTTTCCTAAGGTATCCCTTAGTTATGCTGCTATAGGATTAGACCGCTGGAGGACAAACTGACCTCATTTCATCAAATGAATACAAATGAATAGTTTGTATTTGTAATTATTTCTATCTTAACGTTTTTTTTTTTGTCTTTCCTTCTGTATGAACTACACCTGGACCTGTCGTCCTGTGTCTGTTTCTACTTCCTGTCCTCTCAAACCCAGTCCGTCGAAGCAGATGGCCGCTCGTCCTGAGCCTGGTTCTACTGGAGGTTTCTTCCTGTTACAAGGGAGTTTTTTCTTTCCACTGTTCCCATTGTGTTTGCTCAGGATGGGACTGAAGACTCAACACAATCTGCTGGCTACCCTACCTTCGATAAATAATGTTAATAATTGAATTTTTATGTAAGTGAACGTTTCTCTTCAGAGCCCTGAGATGACTTCTGCTGTGACTTGGTGCTTTATAAATAAACTGAATTGAACTGAATTTCCTGGTGGTCATGAACAATTAGAAATTTAAATGGCTCTAACAGAATGAAGTAATCTGGGTCGTTCAAAACTGGTGGCAGACAAAATACTAATCCGATTAATAACGTTAATATTTTAAGGTGTAGAAATGTTTTCAAACACATCGTCTCCAACTTGTTCAATGTTTGACCTGACTGAGGTGGGATTTGAACAGAGGTTGTCTGATTCATAGGTGAGAACTGATGCCTTGCTTCACTTACAAAGAATGCAGTCGTGGTATATTTTGTATGAGAGGCCTGAGCATGGCTGCGTACTCAGAACCGTCTTTTATTGAATGTTTTGTAGTGTAATATTCTAAGTGTCCCCTCAGTGAGGACTGAACTAGACAAAAGGACCTTCTCCTGCTCCGCTCCTGTTTCCTGAATATCTTGTAAAAAGATCTGAAGCTCTCGACCTTTGACCTCTCTAAGTGGCTTCAAACATCTGCTAAGTTCATGGGAAAAACCAACGCAGACACGTTCCTGTTTTTAATTTTCTACATCGTCTGTGTTTGTTGTTGAAAACGGGTCTCTGTTGTAAATGAGTCCTCGAGGCTCAATGAGACTAACCTGTCGAAGTAAAGGTTGAATTGAACTGAAACAAATGTTGAGATCATTGTCTTGACATAATGATTTTACAGTTTCAAATAAATAAATAAATTGTCATAGTTATTAGATTACTTACTTCTACATGTATTAAATATAAACTTTTCACCAGTGCTCAATTAGCTTAATTTGAGCAGAGTTTTTATTTTGTCTGTGTTCGGTCTGCGGGTTCTCCGACCATGGTGCTGACTCTAAAACAAGTGAACTAACCACTGGTTGTCCATTTGTTCATTTGTTGACCCATCTGAGCCGGTTAGTTCGCCTGCTGCAAAGTCAAACCATGACTGAGGTGACCAGAGACGGAGGAGAACCTCTGCTCGCACCAGCTTCCTCTGGTTGAGCCGTGGGATAATCTGTGCCAAGCAGATTATCAAAGATGCTCGAAGACTTGTTTTCAGTGACAGAGGCTTGATGCGTGTTCCTCATCATGCTAATGAGGTCAGGCAGAGACGGTGGCTTCTCTTTGCTTCAGTCAGTCCAGCTGACGCCGAGTCGGGCCAGAAGATAAGTGCATTTCTAAAGAAGTGGCAGCACTGGATAAAAAAATAATACTTTAATAGGGAAATAAAAGAGCATGAAGTTTCACTGAAAGATCTTGTGTAGTTTATTTTCAAGCACATACTGTAGTGTGGAAAAGAGACCGTGAGTCAGGAAGCAGGTAAGACTCTTACCTGCCCCAGATTTACCACACCTCCCCTCCACACCCCCCACCACCCGGACCCGACAGGTAAACCATTGGAGGAGTTATAAATAAATAATAAAATAAAGACATAAATACAGAACGTGTGCATTTCTTTTATTATCCAATAATAATATTATATTTTTTAATTATTAATAAATATCTGTTGACACAAAACGTGTTTTAAGAGTGTTATCTTCATCAAACATGGAGAATTTACCATATTTGCACATTTTTTAAATTTAAATTAAATTAAATTTAAATAAAAAACTAACTGAGGTGAGATTTGCACCCAGGTTTTCTGAATCGAGAGAACAATACACAAACCTGTGCTCACACCACGCTCTGACTGAACCGTGTGAAAAGTAAAAACTATTTGTTTTTATCTTTCTATTTTTAAAACGGTAAAACCATTATCTCAAGAACGTTTTCTAAAAGTTACATTAATTAACCTTAAAAGTTTATTATTTTTGGTGTAAAAATAGCACAGTTGCAGTCATATTAAAACTATTATATTCATTTACATATATAAATGTTATTTTAGCATAAATGTACAAATATATTATATTAAAATGCTGTACGTAATTATAAAAGCTTTCATAGGACAAAGTATGGAGCATTAGTTTTGTGACAAACATCAATGGAATAATAATATTATTATCAATAATAATAATGAAGAGAAACAGAATCACAATCATGTGCATTGAACATGCACAATAATCCTATAATGTCATATGTCCCTAGAAAGAAAAGTGTGCCCAAGCTGTAGCCTACGACTGTAAAACAACAACACTGTCATGTGAACTGCAGTGATGAAGACTAGAATCTGCATAAAGCACTAAATCGAGCATCTTCAGTCAACATTAATCTGCATGCATGAAATATCACAACACAAATGCTGCTCGGATACGTTTTTCCCTCGCACCAAAACAGAAACATTTAACTGTAAAAGAATAATCTACTTCAACATTCTGTGTTTCTCCAAGACAACAAATACAATCTGCATCAAACTGTACAAAAATAAAACAGTTAGTTTAAGCAAAGACAGCCACAAACAGGGGAAGTGAACAGTGCAACCACGGCAACAGTTATTTTATGCCAAGTGATGCTTGTGCGAAGCTCTTGAACCAGTAAAGTGTTAGCAGAGAAATGATCTGTCAGAGAGCACAGCCTGAAACTCTTCAAGCCTGAGGTGTAAAAAAACTGTTATTCATTAAGACAATTATTTTCTGTTTATTGGGTGAATGCTTATTAAGCACAGACTTATTAAGTCTTCCCACAGACCAAAAACATGCATGTTAGGCTGCCTTCAGGTCCAGGCCTCCCTTGCAAAAGGGATCTGTGATCTCGTTGGTTAAATAAAGGTTTATAAATAATAAATAAATCAACTCAAAACCTGCTTTTTGCTAGCAATTTCAGCATTTTTATGCTACTAATACTTCTGCTTGTGCTAATTCTGCAAAGTTTTTAACTAAAGGTAATATTTGGCCCTGCTAATGCTAATTTTACCCCGTTTATGCTAATTCAGACCTGCCAGTGCTACTTCTGTCCTGCTTTGTGCTAGCATTCAGCTACTTCTGTCCTGCTTTGTGAT